ACTGTTTCAAAGCCAACGGTTGTGCAAGGAGGGGATTGGGCCAGGATCACGCTCAACCTCCAGGTTTTCTCCCTTAATGAATTATTTAATTAAAGGTATCCACTTTGTAGAGGCTGGGTGTGCCCCAGGAGGTTCTCGCTTTCCCAGGGTCGCCCCAGGGCTAATGAAACAGAATAATTAATTTTTCAATTTTTCTGCCATGAGCCGGGATTTGAACCTGGGACCTTCCCTTCAGCATTGGAAGCTTAGTGCCCTACCACTGAGCTACTCCGCTGCCTCAATTAACATAAAGATTCATTAATAATTGTTATTTTTTCAAAAGTAACAGTTTTTTAAAGTATATTCTTTAATTAGATTGATTTATATCCATTTATACAAACTAGTATATGCTGTAAATATAACATAACTTGTTGCTTCAGAGAAGATAAATTGAATCAAATGTCTCAGAGATTTGAGATCATCAAAAATGGATTGTTCAATGATGAGATCTATGCAAGATAAAAAACCGCATTTAGAAAATTACGTCTTAAATGATGGGTTTTAGATATAAGAGGCATCAAAGGAGACAAAAATTATGGTTCTGAAGATTACCTATTCACCCTTCCTCATTTTAAGATTGAATTTTGGATCCTACGATCCTGAATGATGACTCAAGTTTAAGCCTATAAAATTTGCTGCCTGAGAATAACATTCATTTGTATCTGAAACTAGATTGCTTTTATTTCATGAGTTGAAGATGGTGTGGAGTGCTTTTTGAATACAGTCAAGAATAGCCAGCCAGATTTCATGGTTTGGTTATGACCCAAGTAGACATTATTCTAAGCATGTTCTGAAAGTTTGGATCAAATGTTTTTAGCATAGAAATTACGGCAAGATGGACAGGTTCATTGTGATGGATAGACCTCACATGAGGATTCCTTGTTCTGAGAAGGCTTCTAAAATGATTGGTGTTTAATCTGTCATTCCTTGACACCTCATGGCAGAAGAGGATATACATTTTTTTTTAAGTTGAAAAGATGTGCATTATTTGTTATTTTCATAAGTGCATAATCAAATGTGCAATGCTCTAAATAAAAAAAAATAAATAAAAAATATTTTACAGGAAATACAACATTGAATTTCCTATAAATATCACAGATAATCATCAGTTTAAATATTTGAAATTTAAACTTAAGCCGTCATGTTTTAGGCAAGCATTAAATATGCTGTTTGAAATTTATGATTACCGTCTGAGCTGAGCCAGATCTAGGCACAAAATCACAAAAGAAATATTATTATTAATTCCTTTTATTGTCATGACTCACTGCTAAAATATTTAATTTACTTTACTAAGCACTTATAATGTTATTGTCTTCGATATTACATTTTCAACAGCACAAATACACTGCAACATGCTACCATACATTAATGTGAATTTGTTCAAACTGCTATGACCTAGCCAATATTTAGTTAATTTTATTATTACTATATTGGCCAAACCACTGAATCTCTACTTTTCATTCAAACGGCAGCATGCAAGCATACAGTTAAACTCCTGTAAAAATATTATGTTGTTTCTTTTAAATAAACATTTTTTTCTTGCCAAAGCAGTAATCACTATTTTTATCATATTGAATTAAAGATAAATAGAATGTTGACAGTTTAAATATTCAAGGATGATTCTCTATGAAAGAACCAATATTTATGTTGGATGGAAGCTTTTTCTCTAAAATATTTTCATTTAATTTTATAAATTTAAACAAAAATGGTTATTTCACAATTAAATCATTGTTCGAACGAACTCTGGCAATCATTTGTTATTTTATAAAAGAAACAGCAGTATATATTTTTATCAAAGAGGTAATAAAAATATTATTAAATCTTATTTCTAATTATTGTCGACACAGCCTTATGAGTGAAAACTCTTATTGTTCTTCTTAATTAACATTTTTGTACAAATAGTCTACAATCCAACACATATATTGTAAACATTTATAAATATTCAGGCCTCTAATTAATTGTAACTTATTTTCTTAAAATATTTAATAATACTAATCGATTCATCCTATCCATCAATTTCACTTTGGAATGGACAGCATTTTTATATTATTCCTAAGCTATATCAGCATACATTTCTAAGATCGCGTATTTAAAAATTTATTTCATATAACTATTTTTATTTTCTCTTCCCCGGTTACTCTTAATGTTTGACACAACAGTAATTTTTTTCTTCACTTTGAAAATGGACATTTAAAGCGAAGTCTAGAGTATTTTATAACAATTATAGTCTGTTTGTTGTTACTTAAGTTTTAGATACTTTATAGTTAACATATAGTTTGTTTGTCTGCTGGAGTTGAAAAATTGAAATAAAAAAAATTACATCTTATGATTTTACTTGACTTCTTTTAAAGAACAAGGCCTACCCAATCAGTTGTATATATAAGGATATATAGTGGTCAATTATCTATGATTACTCACTCTAGTTCAGATTTCAAGACCAAATGCTATTTTATTAAAATAATATTCTACTATTCCCTTCTAACTCAGCTTTAGTACTCAGTGCTCTTAAGTGTGGCAAAATGTATTATTTCTCAATAAAAAGATCTTAAAAAAAAAAGAACTATTCTCTTGATACTAAATGGGCTAGGCTCTTGTTGTTGTTTGCTACTTTTTATTTTAAGAACACAGAATCAATTTTATTAATGATTTCCTATTTTTTTTTAATTGTTAAATTCCAATTGACTAGCAATTATTAATTATATTGAAATTTTAAAAATAAAAAATATGGATGAATATAATGTTTTTTTTTTTAAATATATCTTTCATATTTTTATTTGAGACAAATACTTAGCATTTTCTTAGAAAGCATACCACTCCAAAAGCTATCGATTTTAGTCATTGTTTAAAAATATTTGATTTTTTATAAATTTAAAGTAATTTTTTATTATATTAAAAATTATTGTCTTTATATTGTTTTAGTATGTGAGCTAATCTTATTGTTTTGATTATATTATGCTAAGAATTGTTATTATCTTTTACCATTTTATATTGCCTCGAATTATAAAATTTTGACTCTCTTGTTTTTTCTATTTATATTATATAAAAAATTTCTAGTTTTTCGAGGAGTATGTATTTATAATGATATTAAATTTTGAATAAAAATATATTAATTTTAAACTTATTTGGTGATCGTTAATCAACATTCATTAAACTATAAAATGTTGGTGATACAATTATTGTTTTTTTCGGGGTAACTAAAGATTCAAACTTCTTTTGTCAGGAAGTTAAAATACTTTGTGAAAGAGGGAGTTTTCATTTGATTGTGCTTCTAATAGTATAATTGTTTTTTAAAAAATGAATTTTATTTATTAAAAGAAAATAAGAAATTATTTATTATTATCAACTCGGTGACGAGTCTTGACTTCCTCCACCAGCTTCCTCCAGTCATCTCTGTTCTGTGCAGCCGTCATCCAATTCCTGACTGCATCCCTTGAATCTCTTGCCACACCGTCTGACCATCTTAGTTTTGGTCTACCTCATCTTCTTGTGCCGTAGAGAGGTTCTGTCAGGATCATCCTAGAGATTGCTTCATTCTCCATCCTTGCCACATGGCCAGCACATCTCAATCTTCCAGGCTTCATCCTCAGAACGACATCTTGATCATTAAAAGTTGAGCGAATTTCGGCATTTGTCCATCTTCTCCAGTTTTCATCGATCTGTACTCCTCCAAATATTCTTCAAAGAATTTTTCTCTCAAATATTAGGAGGTCTTGCTCAATTTTTTAAATCGTTGTCCATGTTTCTGAAGCATAGACTGGGCGGATTAGTGTTATATAGAGATGTAGCTTGTTATTCAGGGATAGAAGGCGAGAGGTGAATTCCTTGCAAAGAGCAAAGTAACGCTTGCTTTTATTAAAACAAAATAAGAAATTAAAAGTTAGGTGGTATACTGTCTATTACTAGAATATCACCTAAATTTGGTGTGATATACTTTTAGAGTTTATTTATTGAATTGTGGAGTTTGTATTTGTTATTTTATAAGCTCCCTTTTCTTTCACATCCCCACGTAGTTTCAAAAGATGTGTCTTCCTCAGTATATTAAAAATATTTTATTTTGGTGTTATTACAATTTTTAAACCTATAAAAGATGCAACACAAACAATTTTCTTAGCATTACGACTTTGCCTTTTTATCCAGAACTGAAAATCTGTTTAAATTGAGGGATAGTTGTGACTAGTGTTGGTTCTTTCTACATTTTATTAATTCAAGTTAATTGACATATCTGTTTTATGAAGTTGGAGGATTTATTCAGAATATTTACTGGTTGAAGAATATTGAATGATTATAGATAGAAATATTGATTGCTAGACATAATTATTTTTTTTTAATTTAAATTTTCTTAAAGGCAAAAACGAGTTATAAATGCATTGTTATAATATAGGTTTTTTTAATTATAAAAATAACGTATTATTTGCACCTGATATATCTAAATTATAATATACGTATACTCACTAGCTTTAAAATGTTATATACTCATAAATAAAATCACAAAACACGTGGATTTAAATAAATTACCTAATTTTATTTCACTTTACTGTTCGAGGTAATTGCGTAAGTGGTTTAAATATTTCACGTTGATGTATTTATGTAATCAAATCAATTAAATAAATGATAAAATAAAAATTTGGATGTGATATAAAGAGTAAGATATCAAAAATGCCTGTTTAAGTCAAATATACTCAATGTGATTTGAAGTGATTAATTGGAAAATAAATTTAATATATTTATTATACCTTCTATAAACTCAATATACCTATCAAACTGAAAGTATAAAAAAAAAAAATAAACATTTAATTATATAAAACATTTCATTTAATATAAGCCAAAAGCCAATATATATATTCATATTAGTATTTACAAAGTTCCATTATATATAATCTTACAAGTTAGTTATTTAAATTAATAGGGCATTCGTGCTATACATTTACCAATTGCTATATAAACATCGCATTGGCTGCAAAGTTTTAAAAGACTAGCAGGTAACTTGCCAAGGATAAGAAACAGGCAAGATGAAGAATAATGTACAAAATCATAAAAGTATAATTTACATTGGTTTCAAGAAACCTATAAGATGTTAAATGGTAAACTACTGGCCTAATTATTTAACAAGATACTTTATTTACATAAACAGTTCATGTAATTACTGTAAATAACAAAGTAAATTAAAATCAAATTAACTAAAAACCCATGTGGAATTTATGATTCATCAATTCTTAATTCTGATTTCATCTGTTGCTTTTTTTATTTATTTATTTTTCTATTCTGTAGCCATACTATAACATATAAACGAATATATTTAATTTCTTTTCAAGTTTTCGTGTCTGTCTAGGGAATATTTGATATGATTAGTCCCTAGAACTCAGTCAATCTTGTGTTGTGCTATCACTTTTACATTTGGTTCATTATTTTATTTTATTTTTTTTTTCAAAATGCATTTACTTTTGACAAAAAGAACATTACATTTGGCATTTATTAGGCCTATTGATTATTATTAATAAATGGATTGAATGGATTAGTCGGTTTCAAAGGTTCAGTTGGTGCATTGGTTTCTTCGTACATGTAGGTATCTTTGCTTTCTGGTTGTACCGTTTCAGCAGTTACTATTTGATTGGTGTACCCAAACTGTCCCATAGTTCCATAATCTACTACTCCTTTTCCATCCTAAAAATCATAAATATGATTAATTTTTTCCTCACTTTAAAATATAATATTTTATTCATGATACATGAGCACTTTCTTAGGATATTCATTATTTATCCTTTTCCCTCGTGTTATTTACCAGTTAAGTTAATCGTAATTAATTACTTATCACATTTGGTCTACAAACATAATTAATTGAATTATAAATTATGATGTCTAAACGGTTTAAATTAGTTGTTTTGGAAGTAACTGGTTATTAGGTTTAACTCCTTAAAATACTCTGAATAACAAAGGAATAGTGGATTGATTATTATCAATCAGTTGTAGTATCTATAAAGAATTAGTAAGATTGTATCAATCGGATATTTTGTCACAGACATCGAAATGAAGTTGATTCAAAGAGTTGATTAAGATACCCACATTGATACAAATGATCTTCATCTTGATAGTAGGGTGAGAGTATTCTTGTAAAAAAAAAAAAAAAAATCATTTTTTGGCACTGTAGATCATGAAGATCTTTGGCATTACTTGCGGTAACATAGACGGCTTGGAATGGATTATCGAGCCTTACGCTGATGCGAACCATTATTTTCATGGTACAGCGGTAGGTTATTCATAGGGCCACTTTATTATCAGTATCATTTCTACCAATTCACTTAGGTTTAAGAAAGAGGAAATTATATCTCTATTATTCTAGGACAAAATTCCTTCAGAACACATCAAATGAGCATCAAAAATGGCCAGAACAGTGTAGCTTTACTATTTTTATACTAAAATGTAAATACAAATCCCTTAATATGATAACAAATTAAATAAAAATATAATATAAAGGAAGAACAAAACAAAAACTAAAGCAATAAAAATATATTAAACAATAATAATCTGAAAAATAACAAAAGAATTTTTGTACCATTTGAAATAAAAGAATATGTGACTTAACAGATATTAATATTAATCAGGCTGGGGGGATAAAAATATGGCTGAAAAGGAGGGATTTTAATGAGAATATATGTGTATATTATTAATTTTGAAGACATTAGAAACTTGAGCATGTATTGATTTTTTTGAAACTCAATATCTAATAGTTTAAGAAAGTATGAAGAAGAAGAAAATGATGCCAATATTTTAGTCAATAGAATGAAGGAGATAAAAACTAAAAAAAAAAAAAAAAATGTTTATGAAATACCTGAAATGGTGGTGGTGACTTTATACTAGAAGGTGGATCTGCCCAGGGTTGAAGTTCTCCGCTCGCAAATATAGCATAAAATGTAATACCAATAAAATGAACTGTTGCAGCCATCAAGAAAACAATTTTCCAAGAATGTTGGCTCTAAAATGGGACAAAACAAAATTTTGTTATGACTTTAACCATTACTATAACTAATATACATTTTTGTTATAATCTTTTAATTCTAGGTCTTTCCAAAGTCTGAAGACTATTCTTATTTAATATTAAGATATCATTTTTCCATGAAAGAGAACCAGATAAAGTTTGTCTAGTTCTGTTACACTAAGAGCATTGTTGGTAGTTTTATTTCAAAACATAATGGTACAACATTTATACTCACATGATCCCTTGTTATGTGATCAATCACTATTGGACAAATCAATCCAGCAATAGTTCCAATTCCATTCGACATTCCCATCAGAATACTAGCATATCTGGGAGCAATGTCCAAATGGTTAACATTGAAACCTGTCAACATAAGTTATAAGATATTTAAAAAAAAAAAAAATCAATATTATTTAATAGAAATAATAATTCAAATCAAAAGAGTATTTAATATCTTATCATTCATTTAATAAAATTTCTAACTGTACAATTCAATTAGTAAATCTGATCAATAGAAAAGTAGTAAATGATCATAGACTTGTGGAGACATCTTGAGGAACACCAGCCAGATGGACCATGGTTACAGTTAGTTGTGAAGTTAATGATGACGAAACATCTACAGATCTGTGAAATCTTTTCTGGATTAGTCTATATTTTTTCAAAGAATAGAAATTAAGATTTAGATTACGTGGGGCCATATGTTATTGTTGAGATACAGTATTCATATATCTCTCCTCTAATATAGAAATAAAAAAAATACTGCCTTATGCATAATAAATTAAAGAGAAGATTATATATAGTATTGCGGAGTATGTTTCACTGACCTGATATAGCAAATCCACTGAAAGCGACACCAAGGGTGAGAGCTACGTTTGCGGCAATAGCTGTGTTTGAGTAAGCAACAACAACGAAAAAAAGTCCTTCCATACCAAAGCCTCCACAGTTGAATACCCTCCTCACATTTGTCGTTGTCATTATTCCATTTTTCCTTACATAGTCTGCAAGCATACCACCAATAGGTACTATGATGGTCATCAAAAGATGAGGCAAAGCACCCAAAAAACCTGTCTGAAAAAATGTTACATTTTTTGGTCTTCATAAAAATATAGATCAATAGTTCTTTTTTATGCTTACAAATGCTAATCTATTTTTAGATAAAATGAAGTAATCATGTCCTTCTGGAATTGATAATGTGGGAAAGGAAACTTTACTTCATAAATTATGACTTTGTAAAGGTTACTCACTTCTTTGATTTTCAGACCAAATCTCGTTGAAAGATAAGAAGCTTGAAATAGTACAAGTAAATAGAAATTCCAAGATCGACAGAAGTTTGCCACTATAATTGCGTAGACTGGCATCGAACTGAAGAACTTCGACCAAGGAGTTGTGGAAAGTGTTGGCATCGCAGCTTGAGTCGTTGTACCTATAATTATATTTTTAAATTACAAAAGAAAATGAAGAATGATTTGTTGTATTCTCTGTAAAAGTAGTAAAAGATGTGGCTTTTCAATTTATTTAAAAATAATTACTTGCCTAAAGATTGTTCTATGTAAAATAGTTCCCGAGCTGAAATAGTTGGATGTTTGGCTGGTTTTTCAAAAGTTAACCACAGCCAAGCAATGTACCAGATTAGACCCATTACACCTTAAAGAAAACAAAATATTGTAAACATTTATTCACATATTTATTTCAATGAAATATGTTTATGTGTTTTATGTTAATATTTATTGAGTACCATAGAAATAAAATGGAGCTTGCCATCCAACTCCAGCCGTAAGCATTCCAGAGAGTGGCATACCCAAAACGACACCAGCATAGCTGCCGCTGAAGGCAAGTGTAGCCAGCCTACTGCGTTCCAGTGGTGGTGCCCAGTACCTCCAGATACCGTGGCAAGCTGGATAAGTGACACCCTAATACAAAAAGAATGTATTTAAAATAAATCAGATCCTGGGTGACTTATTGATTGAGCAATCTTTTCTTCTTTACCTCGACCAGTCCTTGCAGAATTCTAACAATTATGATGAGTGCTGGCTGGGTGTCTGCAGCAACAGGGAGTAAGAGATTTAAGAAAGATGATGTTGCTATAGCCATTCCAAATATCCTAAAAATATATTAATAAAGTATAATAATATAATAATTAATTAGTTATCAAAGTATGGAACTCAACATCATGACTGCAGTGGCTAGAAGAAAAATGGAAGATTTTACATTTTAATTAGTAGTACAGTACATTTTCTTGTGAGAAAAGTATGTCCCAGGAGTCTGTTGTGTAGCTATGTTTTCTCATTTTTTATAATAAAATTAAATACTTAATGGCAATTAAAGTTATATTTGAAATTGTTATAAAATCATATCTGAATGATATAAATCATACCAAAAGTATTTTGAAAACATTTGTACTATAAAACATAAAATAAAAAAAAAAAAAAAAAAAAGAAATGGCATGATTTTATTATAAAGATATATTGTGACAATTTAGACAAGAGCAATCAAATCGCTTGCCTCTTATATAATTGTGCTCATTCTTTATAAGATCCAATGTAAAATATAAAAGAATACCCTTGATGGGAGCATTTGCACTATAGAAAAAAATTGTTGCTCAACCACCTGGTTTTTCCACTTAATTAATTATTTAATTAAGAGTACCCACTTTATAGAGATTGGGTTTACCCAGGAGGGTCTTCTGGCCCCCGTGGTCGACCATTGGCTAATGAAAAATTACTAGTCATCAGCCGGATCCGAACCTGGGACCTTGAGCTCTGAAAGTCAGTGCTCACCCACTGAGCCACCCCGCTCCCTAACATGACTTAATTGGATGAAAAATATTTAATGATTTAATTAAACCTGTTCTAGGTTTAATAATTAAATCTGTTCTGGTATAGTTATTAAATTTTAAGATAACTTGCGACTTGCCTGTTAGCAGGGTATTTCGATGCTAGGAATCCACCAGGAACTTGAGTGACTAAATAACCCCAGAAGAAGGAGGAGTCGACAGCGCTCTCCATTCCGACAGACCAGTGAAACTATTGACAAATAATATTGAAAAATTGTTAAATAAATGTATTACTAATCATATTTACAGCATTCTAATCTAGTCACAAATCCAAATAAATTTTAGTAATATAATATTCATTAAGTATTTATTCAATGTTCTAAACAATCTATGAACCATAACATTAGAATCGATGCATGAACGTGAAGCTTTAAACTTAAAAATAATAAAAATTTGAATAAATGTTTATATATATGTGATTTTAAATCACTGATATATAGTTGTAGGTACTTATTTCTTGTTACAATTTTTTTCCTTTATATAATTTATTTCAAATGAATTATTTTTTTATGTAAATATTTTATTTATTTATCCCTTTATTTTTATAAGATAATAATCAAAAAAGTAGATAAATAATTTTTTTTTATTATTCAAACAGCAATTTGAAAATCTATAATAACACAAAAAATTAATATTTTATTTGATATGTAGTAGTGTAATATGCAAAAATAAAATAATTCTAATTCTTAAAATAATTTTATTGATTGATTTTCTTTCGATTTATTTTTCGTAAATTACATATCTTCAATTACAAGTTAAAAAAGAAGAAAGAGCATAAACTATTATCTCTTAAGCTGTTTTCTGAATTACTTAAATAATATTGCTCATTTTGAGATTACATACCGGCCGCACATGAGTCGTGTTCTGTTTCTTCACTGCATGTTCCTAAAAAGGTATATATAATAGTAATAAAAATTTAATAAATAAATAAAATAAAGGAGATGGTCTGGGGTGATGGTCATAAATAGGCTAAATAGTGGCAAAACTATTTTATTAAAAGCTAACGTTTCGACCCGACTTTGCAGGTCTTCTTCAGGGAGGTGTGTTCAGCTAGGAGTTTCACTTAAAACTCAAATTCCCCCGGACCATCTACTTTCTTTATAATGCAACAGTCAACTATTAAATATTCAAAATAAATAAAATTTTAAAACATAATATTTATGTTGATTCTCTCAATTATCTTGATTCTCTCAATTAATTTCATTATATATAATTTTATTAGTAATTGAACAGACTATAAAACACTTATACTTTACCAGCTCCTTTATCATATTTTTTTTATTATTATTTAAAATTGGGATAACTTACCGCTGCTTTTGCTGTTTCGTCAATCTATGAAGCATGCAAAAAAGGAGACAAATGTCAAATATAGGAATAAATATCAATTGACAGTAAACAAATCATCAGCATTCCACCTGAAAAAAATTGGTATGTGAATAGACAATAAAAGGGCTTTTTATTTTATCTTTTCTCTAATAAATAATCAAGAACAAAAATAAATTTAAGTGATGATAAATTAAGCCTAGAACAATTCAAGTATTTGAAATTTAAAAAGTCAAGATAGGCAGGGGTCGTTTTAGTTCAACTCTGAAAACGTTCCCCAATTTGGCTTACTCCTAATTATGTTTTTTGTAGTATCTTTATTTACTAAGCTCACTAGCGGATCCAGGATTTACTTTTTTTTGGGGAGGGGCTTCAGCCCGAAGACTTTTTTTTTTTTTATATATATATATATATAATGATAATTACTTTGGAAAAAAAGAAAGAAACAAACTACCTATATGAAATAGTGTTTAAGTGATTCTTGAAGTCCTATTAAATGTAATTAAACGAACAATAATACTTAAAGAGATAATTTTTTACCATAAAAATCTGGTGCGGGTTCGTGTATCACACAACTTTCACTTACCACCCTCTTAGCAGAAATAAGTATTTTCAGACAAAGGAGAAGTGAAAGTAAAAATTATAGACGTTATAATTATTTATATTTCATTGTGGGTATTTTTATTTGTGTAAGTACCCTTATTTATACAAAATTTAATAATTATATCGGTGTAATCTATACAATTAATTATTAAATAATACCAACAATAGCATTTATGAAATCCGCATATGAATATTTATATATTGTCGGAGTCCATATTATATTAAGCTCATGTTGTATGGAAGCCTATTATAATCTTTCAGGCGAGCTCAGGTGGGATCAATTACAAATATAGTTCGTAACGATTTTTTATTTCTCCTTTAGTTAATTATCAAATTATTTCATATTTTATACTTAACTATTTTTTATATTAGAGATTAATGTGAAATAGTCAATTGTTTCAAATAAAACGAATTAAAGGTACTTTAGAGGAAGCTAATATTGAAAATTAGCCATTTAAGCCCTGTTAGAGAACATAAATCAGAATAAAAACTACATTTTACCTACCAACTACCTAATTTTACACTGATATAATGAATTTAATCAAAATCGTTAGAGCCGTTTCCGAGAAAATTGTAAAAATGTGTTCAGACCATGATATGAAGTGCCACTTCGGGTCAGTCGATTTTGACGAAAAAGTTGCTGTAACATCCCTAGCATATAAAAACATTAAATATGAAATTTCACTTTCGTACGACTTTTCGTTTTTGAGTTAGACTGTTAACACAAACACACACAGACCATTTTGCGGGACTTGGTTATTTGGACTCAGGGGACCTCAAAACGTATATTTCCGTTAAAAACTGAAATTCATAAATTTTCACGATCACAATACTTTCCTTTACTATATATTACTATATATATATACTATATATAGGTAAGTGAAAGTAAAAAATGGTTACATTTTACCATTTTGGGGATGGCTTCAACCCGAAAACCTTCGCTCCCGTAGACCCGCCTGTCATTAGCGGATCCAGGATTTAATTTTGGGGGGGCCTCAGCCCAAAAGCTTTTTTTTTCATAAAAATAACGATAATTACTTTAGAAAAAAAGAAAGAAACTAACAACCTGTATGAAATGGTGTTTAAGTGATTCCTAAAGCCCTTTTAATATTAATCACACGAACAATAATACTTCAAGAGATACTTTTTTAATATTTTTTTTCGATAAAACGTGGTTATATTTTACTATTTTGGGGGGAGGGGGCTTCAGCCCGAAAGCCCCCCTCCCCTCCCCGTAGATCCGCCCGTACCGCCTGTGACTAAGCCTAATAACTCCACATACCATTTCAATCTCCGCTGTTACGTAAATTTATTTAATTGGGTGTATGCTTACTCACCAGAAATCGCACCTTCAGATTAATATATGTTCTATTCCCTCCAAAATTTTCTGCAAGAGAAATCTTACAAGAGAAGACGTAAAACAAAAAAAAAAAAAAAAAAAAAGATCTTTCATTGTACCTAGGACATTAAAAACATCTATTTTTATGAAAAGGGATTTTAGACCTTCCGAGCCGTCGTTTTACTCTGCAAATCAATTTTAACATTTTACCGAATTTAATTTTTGTCAAAATTTCCCTACGAACATTTTGGGCATTTCTATATTAATTTTTAAATAGTTTTTATATGCTATAATATTAAAAAAGATCTCTTGACTATAAATCAATAAATGTGGAAGGCAATGCCTAGGGTTGACATGTCGCAGTTGACACCCGACATCCGAGGATAGCACACGTCAATTCCCGTTGGTTCCTCGTTAGTCTCGGACTTGCCGTAATCTGACAGCCATAACTTAACTAATCCCTCCGATGCTGTCACTAGCAATTTCAAAATAGGGTCTCTATATATTATTTACTATTACATCATAGCATGTATGTAATGAACATTATACCTTTAGGAGTATGCTAAAATTTCCATTTAGTATCTTTAGTCTAAATTAAGTAGTCGATGATGTTTAAGTAGTCTTTTGAGGCAAAAAAAAAATTACAGGAACAATAATGCTTTCAGAAATAAACTTTTTATATATTTTATTGATACGTGCTTGCATTTAGTAGCTATATGTGCATTATAATTTAAAAAGAGAATGTATTATGATTGTTTAAGTATTTAGCTTTGACTCACATAAAAAAATAAGGACCAATGAAAAAAGTATTATTTTTCCAAGGAGGGAGAAATGCTTCATCCAGAAAGCTCTCCCGTAGGTCAGCCAGTGAATATACATGATATTCTCCATGTTAAATTCTGTTACATTATATTCGGAAATAGTAGTCAGAAGGTACACGTATAATATATCGTTGGATAGCGGAGAATTAAAAAAAAACAATATATAATATAGGAAAGTTGCAGAAAGTAACGGAGAATAACGAAAAATATATAAATAATAATTTCTAAAAAACTAACATTATTTAACGTAAATCAGGTGTTTTCATGAAAATTAAATGAAATTTTCTTACTAAATGTAAACGTTTAAATTTTTTTTTTTAAGTTTTAAAAGTATTTAAAACCCACGGATTCAAGGCAATGACATTGTTTAAGATACTATTTCATTGTACTTGTGTGAAAGAAGAAGTGAAATATAAAAATATTTCATGGATATGTTTATAACCTTAAATATATTTACTGTAGTTTAATAACAGAAAAATCATTATGTAACCTTTTAGAAAATTAAATTAGTGAATAATTTGATAAATTTTTCCTTTGCGATCAGTGTTACAACTTTTGACCTGTCTATGACAGACTATGCAAATCTCTTACTTTCGTTTTAGTAAACTTTGCAATGGAAAATAACAGTTTAATAAATAATAGTCGTACAATCCATAATTAACGGATTGTACAATCCGTAATCAAGGAATCGTACAATCCATAATCAATCGGTGATATAATAAATAAGACTTTTGTTATTTTAATATTTATGATTGGTTAGCTGTAATCTTTTAGCTTTAGCTCAAAGTTTTACTAGTGTGCCCCAGCCGTCTTAGTTAGCCTTTTCACTTTTTTTTTAGTTATCTGCACTCAACTCTGTTTCATTTGCCTTGTATTTAGGCATTCATTGTTATTTAGAGGATTCGAGATGGATTGTTCCGAACTACATGCCTCGCCCACGGAGATTACTCCTTGCCTTCATATAATAGTTTCTGTAAGCAGTTCTTTATTGGTTTCTTTCTCATCCATGCTTTAGTATTCTGATGCCAGATCCGGTTATGGTGCGGAGGATTTTTCTCTCAATTCTTACAATACCTCTTTCTAGGA